TATATATATATATATATATATATATATATATATATATATATATATATATATATATATATATATATATATATATATATATATATACTATATATATAGATAATAGATTTGTAGATTTGTAATCCAGGCATTTTATTAAATTAGAATTTAAAAAAAAAATTATACAGAACACTGTATAATTTTTTAAAAATTATATATATATATATATATATATATATATATATATATATATATATATATATATATATATATATATATATGGTATGGATTCAAAAATTCATTAGTCCTACAGTATTAACGAGATGCTAAAAAGGTCTCTTTACATTAATTATTAACCACCTGCATTAGAGTGTTATGATGTATTACAGTCGATTTCACGAAACTTTTGCCACAAATGTTCCGAACTTTGTTGCGAAATTCGCAAGTTCGTTGCAAAATTTGGAAGTTCATATTAGAATTCACAAGCCAATTTGTAAACAAAGTCCCTGATTGGTCCCTGAAGTAAAAGAAGCCGATCAAATGCGTTGTTTACAAACTGGTATGTGAATCTCATTATGAACTTTTGAACTTCGCAACGAACTTGCGAACTTCGCAACGAAGTTCGGAACATTTGTGGCAAAAGTTTAGTGAAATCGACTGTAATTGTTTTTTGTACTTGTTTCTTTTTATTTTTGTATTTAACACGTACAGAGATGAAATCGACATTGGTCAAATTACAGTTGAAGAGGAGGTGTACGATACTGTAATAGATGGTCATGGTGATGATGAATCTCATGATGGCATACAAGAGGAAGGTGTTGTGAATAGCTGGTCTTTTGAAATGTCAGCAGAGGATGTTATCAAAGCTGAAAAATGCATAGTCTTTACTGAGCAAGTTTTGAAATTGTTGAAGTCACTTCATGGTGAAACCTGCAAACATCCTGGATGTGATAAAACGTTGGAGTACAAGACAACATAATATTGGCACTTGTCTTGTTGTCTCATGGGGGTGCAATGTAATTCACTTTGGTGGACGGTGGACATCACAACCAACAGTCCATAAATTAAGAGCAGGCAATCTTCTTCTTGCATCTTCTTTATTGCTATCTGGTAACTCTTATACCAAGATCGGCCTGATGTTCAAGTTCATGAACTTGCAGTATATTTCCCAAAGTTTATTTACCAATATCAGAGACTATACATTGCCCCAGTTGTCAATAAAACATGGAAAACACTTCAGGCGAGTTTATGGAATACCAGAAAAGGAAATGATATTATTATTGGAGGTGATGGGCGAAATGACTCTCCTGGTCATTCGGCCCAGTACTGTACCTACAGTTTTCTTGATGCTGATACCAAGGAGATTTTGCAGGTCAAAGTCGTTGATGTAAGAGAAGCCAATGGCAAAAGCAATAACATGGAACGGATTGGGTACGAAAGAGGACTTGATGGTTTATTGACATCTGAGATGATTATAAAAGAAGTTGTTACAGATGGTCACCTAGAAATAGCTGCTTTAATGAGTAAGTTGTGTTTTCATTATATAGTATTAATCAGGTAATGCCAAGTCCATTATTTGCATTAATTCTGCTCATAACAAAGGATGACCCACATATATAAATATTGCCCAAATTAATTTCGCATCTTTCAAACTTTTTTTTTAAGTCATTCGTTTTAACCCTTTAATTGGCAATGCGTCCTACTTTATTATTTTAATATGTCTAATGTCAGACAATTTTACTCATCAAGGAGAGAATGCTGCCACTCGATAGGTTAAATCGAGTGAAGTCATGTTAATTTAAGTCAATATGTATGTCTGCATTCCAGGCCATTTTAGACTATGATAACACATCTTTTCACTTCATTTTGTAGAGAAGTCTGATAAATACAATGGCATAACTCACCAAATGGATGTATGGCATGGCAGTAAAGGGATAATCAAGAAAGTAAATAAAGTAAGGAATTATTTACCCATTAATGCGCTTCCCCTCTTTACCGCTGACAAGTAAAATAAAGTACATTAGGGTGTATTTGGCACATTGCTGCTTAATGGGTTTTAGTAAAATGACATGCCATTAGCCAGGTTCATAACAGACTAAAATTAGTGTAGGTAATCATGTGATAGCGAGTACAATTAGGGATGAATAGTACAAGTGATGTTTGGGAATTTTGCCAAAATTGGACGAGCTGTGGGGCGAGTCCAATTTGGCAAATTTCCAAACATCACGAGTACTATTAATCCCTAATTGTACGAGCAACATCGCATGATTACTTGTTTATTATTAGCATGACAAAATTGGATACTTCTCAATGTCAACATCATATTCTCTTGCCAAAGCCCATTCCTGCCAGACTATCAACCAAAATTTGGTGCTTTTGTTCATATTTTAATTTAGTTCTTTTGTTAAAGCAACATTTGGTGCTTTTGTTCGCATTTTCATATTGTTCCTATAGGACAATTTCATTTCACATTTGTATTTTGTTAAAATACTTTTCCGCCATGTTGTTTGTTTTGGGAAAATCATTGTACTGCAGTACAATTAATGATGGTAATAGAACGAATAGGAGTGCTATTAATGCCATAATCATACGAGTGATTACAAAATCAACCGACCGCGTAGCGGGAGGTTGATTTGTTAATCACGAGTATGATTATGG